AAGCAAATAAACATGAGAAATAAGATAGGCTTATGCATCATGGTGATAATGCCAAATGACTATTCTTCCATGCAACTTGATTTTGACATCATCAAAACACGCATATCAATTATCTGAAGTTTTGCCCTCACAATATTTATTTATGCACGATGACATGATTTTATGTTGGGAGTACAAACCTTGATTCTTTCTTCTTTCTTCCCTACTTATGAACTTTGTTTTGCTACTTAATTTCATCCTCATAATATAACACAATCATCTATAAATATTCTGATCCATTATTCTCTCTTATTTCTGATTGAATATGTTTCTTGGAAATGAATACAAAGAAGATAAAATCAAAAGATTTTTGCATATAACTTAAGCAAAATCATTTTTGTGATTGAATATGTAGAATTCATACTTCAGAATGTGATTGACTTTGCAACAAATTACAATATTGCTTGAATCAATTGAAAATTTTCTCATCATATAGGAATCAAGATATTGAATTTCTCCATCTTCTAGTACTCTTTCTATTCTGTTCTGCAGAAGTTAGATTATTACTCCGAGGCGAAATATCATGATCATGGTTTTGCACATTTGTCATCTTTGTTAGTTTGCTCAATTTCTTCCAACCACTACTCCAAGCTGAACTATGCTTCTGCTTTAACATCTTATCAAATTGTTTCTGCAAATTTTCCATATCATTTTGAAGTTCCAAATACTTAGCTTTCACACTCTCCAGCTCAAATTTTAGTGTGTTGACATCTTTTTTAGCAGATGTCCATCCTTCTTGGAATGATTGTGGAGTCGCCTCGAGTAGAGTTTTTCGGTTTGTAACCATTGGTTGAGTAAAGGTTTCAACATCTTTCAAAGAAGGATTGGATAGTGCAGTACTTATCTTTACCTGTTCTGCGAATAGGACTTGCACAACTACTCTTAATGGAAGCCTTTCGTTTTGTGCCGCGTGCATGCATGCGTCAATTGAGAGTTTCTGACAATCCATTACGCGGCAGAGTCGTTTCCTTTCGTGCTCAGATAGTGTTGGATGTGCCTGTTAGTTTACTTCATCGTTAAGAAATCTTACAACCATAGAATCGAAATCCAAATGGAATGAAAGTTAAACTAAGATAATTACCTTAAGATAGGAATCAATAGCTCTATAAAGTCCATCATCGCAGGTTCGAGCTGATTCAGGCAAAGCTTCGGCAAGTACTTGAAATTTTGTCAATGAAAGGTTTCGATCTCTTGAAACTTCTGTAAGATAGCTATCAACAAGTCTTGCTACTCTTGCTTTTGCATTAAGATGACTTCCTAAATGATTCTCAGAAATCGACTGTCTTTTTGGACTAGAACTTTCGGTTTGTTCTTGCACGAGAAAATGCTCGAGTAGTCTCAAAACAAGATCGACGTCATACATCATTGTTTCGCCTTTGTTATAACAAGGAATCAAAAGATCAGAAAGTGTAGCTTGCTCGAATTGCATTCCAACTCTTTTCTCTAATTCGGTAACCAATGCAGGTGCAACTTTTAACATGATTGCCATTCTCAGAAGCCTAAGAAGAAAAGCGCATGAAACCGTATCTTTCTGAGGAGGAATAATGCTTATGAGACTCTCAATGATCATTCTTTGTTCTTTAGCTTGAAGAGTTGAAGTTTCGTCTCTTGTTCCGCCCGATACAATCATATGAAGTCCACCACCGCCGCCTTTAATCCAGTTACTACCGCTACCACTACTACTACTATGACTATTGTTCGTTTCGTCGAATGTGATTGTTGTTTCACTAACCAGCCCTTGCAGCCATTTTGTTGCATAATGCATTATCGCAGCGCCGATTAACTCAAATCTCATTCCCTTAACCTTAATAGCAGTAATGACTCTAACAAAATGATCAATCCTAAGAATAGAAACATCTTCAAACCACCAATCAGGAGGAACTAGTTGATTCCTACTCGGACTTGTCGCATCTTTCATCATATCATTATTGTTACTATTGCTATTCCATCTCGGACTTGAAATTTTCGACGCTGTTCTTCCAGTGTAAGACCACCTTATCCCTTTTGGATTAGCACAAGCTTTCCAAGCTATAGACTCGCTGCATCTTCGAACAATTTGAAGATTCTCCGACCACGGCGAAAGCTTTTCGCAGCTTTTCAAAACTACTATAGAATCTCTCCACGACGATAAAACCACATAGCTAAGAAATGCTTCTGTTTTGAATATAAGATTCCCTTCTTCTAAATCTTCTGTCATTTCTAAATACTCAGCCGAACATCTTAGTCCCGAGATATTTCCGGCCGTTAAATCAACCGCAATTCCATAACAAAACTTTGCCGCAAGTTCAAATGCCTCAAATCCACCCGGGATATCATTCATAACTACCTTATTCACATCCGGTTCGCGCGATTCGTATATGATTCTACTCATCTTCCCACTTCGAGATATCAAAGGATACTTTCACAACAAAAACCACAAATCACACTCAACATATAGTGTAGCACAAATTATAAAGCCTAATAGTAATATCTCAACATAAAAGTTACTCTTAAATATGTTTTTAATCCCTAGAAAATTACGACTTTTTAACAAGAACTAAACTCGAAAGATCGCCGAATTTTATATAGACTAAAAACATATTTAACCCTAAAAATTACGAAAAACCTAGATTGAATGAATTGAAAGATACCTTGTGCAAGTGGAAATTAGCTTCTCCAATTTGAACAAGAAAATCACTAGGAATATCAGTTGCAACATACCTGCATTAAAAAAACATAAGATTTCTAGTAACATTTTCAAAGGTACTAAACTGTTACTAATTAAGCAAAAATTACTTAACATACCAAGAATTTCCTCTTTGAAGAAACCCTTGAGTCTTAACACTATGTTTGTTTGAAGTGAGAATTCCATCTCCATATTTGTGTCTTGTAGTTGAATCACTCTCAGATTCCCACATACTGAATGAAAAAAACAAACCAGATTCACAGAATGTAGGAACTGTTGTGAAAGGAAAGTAGCTTTAACTTTGAATCAAAACTAAAGATAATAGAGAGAGAGAAATTAATAAGAAACTACTACATGGAATGGTTGAAAATATTTTAAGTTATCTTTAAGAATTGTCTGTTTGTTTGAAGAAGAAAAAATTGTTGGTGTTACAGGCTGTGATGAAATGGGAATAATGGTGAATGAAATTTATGATTTGGATGAGATGATAGAAATGTATCTATATAAGGACACTGCCTGTTTCTTACTGTCTTTATGCTTAAGGCAAGCAGAACGAAACTATATATATATATATATATATATATATATATATATATATATATATATATATATATATATATATATATATATATATATATATTAATCTCTTTTTTATTAGATTTTTTTATAATGTAATAAATTATTGATGATTATAAATTAAAATTTTAAAAAAATTACTATATTTTAGAGTAATGAAAAGAAAGGTATTTATTTATAGTAAAAAAGAAAAAGAGAAAAACAGGGTAGGGTGCATGATGCGATGGGAAGGAAAATGAATGTGATTTGTGTGGCTATATGTTTTGTACTACTTGTACCAAAATTAGACACTTGGTGTTTTTACAACCCTTGAGATTCTATTATAAATAAATGTTCTAGTTTACTCGAGAATTATAAATCAATGATTGATAGAAAATAAATTTCAGCTTTTGTTACTCTTTCTATGTCTCAAGTTGAATATTTTTTATTTTAATTTTATCTAAAATATATTATATAATAATAATATTTATATTCATGAGACGGAATAAATGTCAGGACTAACGAGTAATGTGGAGTGTAATAAAGTTTTACAAATTAATTACTAGTCATTTGCATAATTGATTTGTAATTGTAATGATATGGAATGATTAAACATCGTGATTTAGGTTTTTTGGTAGGGTTTATAGTTTTTAAAGTTTGAATTCAACAAAGGAAAAGTCGTAGCAATTTGTCTCTTATTATGGCCCCCCTCAATCGAATTCATTTTTTGTTTGTTATTCACAAAATAAATCTGAACTACCACCAAAATATATACATGCAATCAAAGAATTTTTTATCCAAATAATTATTTTTTCAAAATAATTCTTAAAACGAACGCACATTTTAAATTAATTCTTAAATTACCTCACTTTTTAAAATAAAAAAAATTCATAAGCATTGGTGTCTGATCAATTCATAATGCGGCCAAATTTTAAAAAGAAACATCAATTAGATTGAAACATGTATCTAATATTATCAATTCAATTTGCGTTTGTCAAATTTTAAAAAGAAACATCAATTAAATTGAAACATGTATCTAATATTATCAATTCAATTATGTAATGTTATAGTATCGGCACCAATTGATTTAACATTAGTGTGTTGTATTTTTTAAATTGCAGTGTCAAAATAGTAAAAAGAATTTCTATTTATATTTTAAAAAAATATAATACACGTGTCAAACCAATTAACAATAAACGAGATTTTTTTTGGAAAATGGAGTATTTAGAAAAATAATTTGAATTGTGAGTTATTCTGATTTTTTGTTTTCTTTTTAAAACTAGTTTATCTGGGTAAAATATTTGCAATCAAATCATAACATGTATTGTATGACTAATTTTAACATACAACTTTCTAAATGATTTCAATTATTATTAAAAGTTGTCATAATTTTTGTGCTTATTTTTTTATAATTAATTACATAAAAACCCTATACAGATTTAAAGGTCTGTTTGGGAGGACAATTTTGAAAATAAGGGAATGACTTATGTTTTTTAAATTAAACACACATTAAATTATTTCTAAGAAATGATTGTTATTAAACCATTATATGATGATGTTCTTTCAAAAATAATAATTAAAATCTTAATAAGATATTGACATAATCGTCCAAAACATTTCTCATCCACTTCTGATCGTTTGTGTGAACAATACAATCTTATATCGTGATTATTGAGAGAAAAAATGTAAAAAAATAAGAACACCATACATTTACCCAATTGTAAATTTAGAATCTATTACTTCATAATTGGTGCCCTTCTTTGCTTTTGATCTCATGCTTCAAAGAGGTAAACATGAAATTCCCTGATAATAGTGCTTCTTTATCTGCACATTTCAAATTCCATAACTTAGGAAATGCAAAGTGGAAAGAGGGGAAAAGTACATATTCATAAGATCTGCAGAATTGTTAATATTATGGATCTTGAAGTGTGCGGCGGTTTTTTTTTTGCCCACTTCAAGATCCATAATATGTTATATACAGAAACAGCTATTATTTACCTGTTAAAGTCATGCAACTTACTTCCCTCTGAGCATACCTGGCCAATGCCTACATAAAAGCTTGAATTTCAGTATCAATGTTGTTATACTCAATAGAGTTGAGGAAAGACTTCGCACATAATATAATATATGTTCCACAAACATAATGAATTTTTTAACATCACTTAGAAGACATACCTGCACTGATTGCAATGCAGCTTTGTCTGGTGTTGAAGAACCATCGTCAGAGAATATATTCCTGGAAAAAAAAACACACAAGGATATATTTTTCTTAGAATTTGAGTCGTGTTTAACTTAACCTCTATAAAACCGGTTTATAAGGTGAGGGATGTCTCCCCCTTATAAACATATTTTCAAATCATATCTCATCTCATGCAGGACTCTAACACTTTTATTAGAATACAAGAAAATGTCTTATATAGATTAATAAGAGTATATTAATTTATTTTTTAAGACCAGTTTATAATCTTAAGGTATCTAAGACTATCTCTTAGGAATTGATTTTATATTACTGAATTATTATTATGGATTGTGTCCTGATTTCTCTATTTAATTATGACTATGAGTCATGTATCGCTATTTATAGGGGATAGTGTTCAGTTTTTTGTATAAGCTACAATCAAGTTATTATTAATAATATTCAAGCTCTTAGTACTTCTGTCTTTTTTATCTAAAACCCGTTACTTTAACAGCTTTGAATAAAGTAGAAATTCTATATGAAGTATGCAATAGGACTGCTTCTTCACTCTATCAATATTCAAAACAGTGGTAAACAGACTAATGGTTGATCGACAGTTTCCTACTTTCAATGGGTGCAAAAAGAGCAGTGAAGAGGATAAATTCATATCAAAACATACCTCCATATAATACTGGCGAAATCACCCGGTTTAGCTTCTGGCAGTATAGCAGCATCGTAAGCAACAATATTCCCATAAAAAATCTTCTCAAGCTCCTTCATCCACTTAATCAATAGTAGGTTAACCTGCATTTCAAATTAAATTACCATAATTCAACAAGAGAGGCCATTTACTACGTGTACTCCAACTATTTTGGAAAAAAATTGTAAGAAAAAGAATGTATGGTAAATATATCTATTTGTAGAAGACAACTGACCCCAGCTTTAGACACTCTAACTTCCACATCGTGATTGTAAATTTCATAAAGGTACTGGCCAAATTCAACACCCTCACTTCCCTCTTGCTTGATGCGGCGCAAGTAAAACCACATGTGAAGTACAAGCAAAGAGAATGTTGTTTTGAATGTTTTCTCCAAGTTAAACACTGCAAACAGACGAAAAAATAGAATGTTACAAACTATAACACTAGTATGACAAGTGCTAATCAACATCAAACTCCTTCTACACCGAAATTGATTGACTTTGATTGATTTGCAAACATATAATTTTAGAAAGTGGTGTGTCTAGCCACCAGAGACATTATGAGATTACCGATATGAAGCTTTTCCTAGTTGTCTTTTACTTAAATGGTTAGAACTTTAAAAGTGAGAAAAAAAGTAACGAAAAGATGAAATATAGTTTTGTTTAAATAAGATTTCTTTGATCATTAGGTATGAAATTATTAGAGAAAACGTCAAGTAAACTCCCAATGTAATAAAAACGAAATTGCGGTGTCAGCCTATGTGGTTTGGTTAGTAGCTTCGTTAAGGAGGGTAGACCGCATTAAAGAAAATCCAATAGGGCAATGGTTTATGGGAGAGTCTGAGGAAAATTATTATCCAAACCATTAAGATAGATTTGGATTTAAATGGTCTACATTTGAACATGACTAATGAATTCATATCATCCATATAGTCGACCCTACCTACTAGGAAAATACTTTAGTTGTTATCATTTAAAATTTCTTTAATCAGAAAATATTTTCTCTATAATATAAGCCTACCAATAAAAGCAGAGGGAAAGAAAAATAAATAAATATGAGCTAAAGAATAGAGGGAAGTGAAAGGAACATTTTTGTCCCACAATACATGTGGTGGAGAAGTTAATATTTAATGTTGTATGCACATATTCAAAAAAAATGTATAGATCGTCTACCAAATCAAATTCTGTTACGGGGGAAGATGGTTATGTAAAACATTCCGTAAGGGGAAGTAAGTGGTATATTAGAGAAAATAGCCGCAACTCTTAGACTAAAATACCAAGATGCACAGACACACATATCTCTGATGTTTGTACTGTAAGAGAAAGATGACTGCATCCTCTATAGTGTTTGTGTAGGTATGCTTCTGTTGTAAACATGTTCCACCATCAATAACTAATTTCCATGTTTGGTACAAAATTCTATTAACGGGTAGAGCACTCAATTTCTAGGAGTGGTTCCCTATTGTCTTTCCCTTTCATTTCCCTACTCATTCAATATCCGTCTAATAACATAACTGTTGCCTTAATACATAACTGCAGCTTAATAATATAACAACTATACTGATAAGAGGTCCAAGTAACAAATAAAAGTAGCTTATAAAAACACTTTATAACTTGTAGAAAAACAGAATTCCATTTTATTTTATCTTTTGTTATAGAAATAACTTTTACATAATCACTTACCTGCTAAGTTGTTTATGCAAAAGGAGCCTATGTACATGTGTATAAATGCATACGCACGAAGAAAACAGACCTTCATAAATAAGCGGTTTATCAACTTGAGAGACGATTCTTTTGTAAACAACATTAGCCCCTCGAATTGATTTGCTCTGCTTACTATAAAACAGCATGAGTTTGAGCATGAATCGCTTAACCCCCTGATAATCAGGTTCATCAACTCTTAGAGGCGAGTCACGGGGCAGTGCCAAAGAACATGGTTTAGCCCAAAACATTTTGTCTAGGTTAACCTGCAAAGTACCCGGAAAATATTATTCAATTTTGGTTTTTGTTATGTAGCACCGGCACCTATGAAAAAAGTGTATCCGTGTCAATGGCGGTGTCCGACACTTGTGATTATCTTTAATTTATTATTTTTTTCAAATTATTCCTGTTGTCGACGTGTCAGGGTCGTGCTTCATAGAGTTTGTGTGTGTGTGCTTAGTTAGATTCAAGTAATAAAAGAGAGAGATTAAAATTGCATACAAGAGGTTCAACTTTGTCTTCTATGATTGGTGCAGCTGCAACCCTAGCGTAAGTTTGATGCATTGGAGCTCGAAGTTTGGAGAGTGGAAGAATTGCTTTGGTACATGTTCGAAACATTCTGATTCTGATTCAATCACAATGAAAGGTTTTTGATAAATTGAAAGCAAGAAAGAACGATGATTGAATGAATAATAAAAATGAAATTAAAAGCAAAGAAAATGAATTGGAGTTACTTTAGGAGTAATCTGTGTAGTGTATGTAAGAATCACTTGGGGAAGTAGAAAAACTGCACTTCCGAATTCTTGCTTCTTTGGTGAAGAACGGCGGATGAGGTGAGGAAGAAGGCGGCGCGGCGGATGAGAAGAGGGGAGACGTGATCTGCGGCTGAGGAAAGATGGATGTGTGGCTGCCTGCGGGACAACGTCGCTCGCGTTCTTACATAAGCCCACCGTCAAGAGGTATCAAAACCAAAACTAAACCTTTCTATTGCAATAAATTTAATTTAATTTCTTCAAAAATAAATACATTACTAGAGACTAAACTTTATACTTTGGATTGGTGAGTTAATTCAATACTTTTATTCCTAATTTTTCAAAAAAAAAAACTTTTATTTCTATTGCTTTTGGTTACATTATAATAAAGTTTTTTCTTACAAAATTCATTATAATGATATTAAAATAATTTTTAAATTGAGTTACATTCTTATTTTATTATTTATCAATTTAACTTGGATACTCTTATCAATTCTTTCTCTCTTTCGGCAAATTAAAAACGGAACCAATTATCAAATCGATAAAAGTACTAGATTAGTTATTTATTAGTGGAATTATCATATCAATGATCGAATTGTATGGCTAAATCGGATTAAATCAAATAATTTGATTGAATAAATCGATATATATATATAACAAAATTATATAGTTATTAGACCGATTGAACCAAATGACTCGATCTCTACAAAAATTACACCATCTACAAATTTTTAAAATTTTTAAAATATAATTATTTTACAAGTTGATTCTTTAATTCAAATTCTAAACATAATTATTAGACAACATAATACAATCCAAATAAGTTTTAAACAAAGATTAATTATAACATAAATTGAATAACAAAATAATAAACAATGTCTAATAAATTTAATTTTAAAGAGGAAAGAATGTTTTAAATAAGTATTGAACAAAGTCTACTTATATTTTAATTTTAATTTATCAAATACGATGTCTTTTTGTTTGAAGAAAAAAAACAAACATTTAACCTGTCGGTTGCCCAAAATCGTCGGTTTCTTGGTTTTTATTGGTTTTGTCAGGTTCTGACCCCTTCTCACTGGTTCAATAATTTACTCGATCCAACAATTAGACTAGACCGGAGACCACTCGGGTTCCTGATTCAACCGGTGTCTTTACTCTTTATTTATCTTTTAATATTACTTTCTCTCTTCTTTAATGTGTGTGTGTGTGTGTGTGTGTGTGTGTGTGTGTGTGTGTGTGTGTGTGTGTGTGTGTGTGTGTGTGTGTGTGTGTGTGTGTGTGTGTGTGTGTGTGTGTGTGTGTGTGTGTGTGTGTGTGTGTGTGTGTGTGTGTGTGTGTGTGTGTGTGTGTGTGTGTGTGTGTGTGTGTGTGTGTGTGTGTGTGTGTGTGTGTGTGTGTGTGTGTGTGTGTGTGTGTGTGTGTGTGTGTGTGTGTGTGTGTGTGTGTGTGTGTGTGTGTGTGTGTGTGTGTGTGTGTGTGTGTGTGTGTGTGTGTGTGTGTGTGTGTGTGTGTGTGTGTGTGTGTGTGTGTGTGTGTGTGTGTGTGTGTGTGTGTGTGTGTGTGTGTGTGTGTGTGTGTGTGTGTGTGTGTGTGTGTGTGTGTGTGTTGTGTGTGTGTGTGTGTGTGTGTGTGTGTGTGTGTGTGTGTGTGTGTGTGGGGGGGGGGGGGGGGGGTGTGTGTGTGTGTGTGTGTGTGTGTGTGTGTGTGTGTGTGTGTGTGTGTGTGTGTGTGTGTGTGTGTGTGTGTGTGTGTGTGTGTGTGTGTGTGTGTGTGTGTGTGTGTGTGTGAGAGAGAGAGAGAGAGACTTATAAAGGTCTAGCTATTGGTCTTATTTGAAAGCGTGCGACATTAATAGTGATGACAATGGTTAAAAGGTATAAGCACTTCAAGGTCATGGACAAATGAAAAGTACGTGTAGAAAAATCACGAGGTGAATCTCATAGGATGGTCACGTTAGTTCGCTCCTCTTCAGACCAAGGCTTTAGGATAACTCCCTCATGCCCTTTCTAAAGAGGTTTTGGTATTACCTAATCGCTATTTCTTCTAAGGATGATAAGTTTCAAAGTCCTTCATTCTTTGACACTTGGATGTGTTGATTTCCATTGTTAACTCCGAATTTCCTAAGAATTGACAAGAAAAAGAATGTTAAAGAAATTGAGGGAAAAGTTATACCTCTTTACGAAGGAAGGGGGTGAAGTTAAGACTGAATAAGGTTTAACGTAACTTGTCCGGCTAGAATAGAAACTTTGTAAAAATGTTGGTGGAAATTGAGTTGATGTCCTCTCTTTATCGCATAGGTCATGATGGTCTCCCCTAGTCGCACTCCAACAGTTTGAAAGTAATCTCCACACATTTCCTTTTCTAACACATGAGAAGGAAACAAAGGTCCTCAGCAGACTTGCCTTCATAAGACAGACTCATCATTAAAGACATTAAATGTATCATGCGTTTATCGAAGTGACACTTGAGAAACTTAACCCAAGTCATGCTTGAGGGGCTCAACCCAAGCTTTGTTTAGAAAACTTACGAGATGGTTCATGATCTCGTACAGGGAGGTTAAATAGTCGCCCGAAATGTATGGTGGTCCATGATCTACCTCACTTATCACACGTGGTTTATGTGGTGTTTGGAAAATAACATTCAAAGGATGTCAGTCAATGAGGAAAAACATTTTCTCCACCTTTCAAGAAAGAGTCTGTCTTTTCCACTCCCACGTTTCTATTGAGGAAACTTGGAAAACTGCTTCCTAACTCGGCCCATAGAATCTGTATAAATGTTCTAACCTTTAAAAACATAGGATATCCAAAAATTTCAAAGAGATATCACAGTCTCTCTCTCTGTCTCTCTCTCTTTCTCTCTATTTATCTATCTATCTATCTATCTATCTCTCAACTATGTCTTAATCAACACTCTTGTTTACATGTTTGCGTTTGTAATGGAACAATCCCACAACTCATGCCTTTCTTTGTGATTTTTGGATTCAACACATTATATTTTCATCGCACTCCCTAAACAATTCAATTTGCACATTATCATTAATTTTTTATTTTAAAATTTTAATTTAAATATATTTCAAAAATTAAATTACTCACTACCAAATACATAGACGAAAGTAAAATTTTAGAAGATAATATGGATAATGCACTGAAGTTGATAAAGGTTACAAGTATTATGTTTTTCAACTGAGTTGAGGCAAATACAGAGATATATTATAATGCCATATAATACCATGTTCAAAATGTATCCATTTTCATCATAGATTAAAGGAGACACGTCTCTAGGCAAGACGTACGCACAATCACCAACTTTAACCAGGGTTTACAACGAAGATTTCTGAATTTAAACACCCAAATCATTGCAAGATGCCGAGAATGAAGACTATAAGACTTGGAAAAACCATGAATGGTATGAAAAAAGACAAGTAAAAGCACTTGAAGCAAGTATAGATCAACTCAAATCCTCTAAACTAAAGTGAATTTTTTGCAAACTTTGTGTTCTCATTTTCAATTTTGATTTGGTCTAATGGTCCAGAGGAAGTGAGTGGTTATGGGATGTCATCTGTCAATGAAATCCATCCTTTTGTAAACATATTTGGGTTGGATCTAATACTATCACCCCTTCTTCAATACAACGAAGAAATTGGACCTAAATTGAGAAACTTGATCAAAATAACTGGATGATTGGTTAATCACAAAAACTAAATATAGAACACCACAGTATCCTGTGATGAAAAAATCTTCTTCATATATGGAAGAATATGAACAAAAAATTGAACATTATTTATTTGTAACTTTCTTGTTTTGCTATTATACACTTGATGCAGCACATAGTTTTTTTCATGCATACATAAAACTTTAAAAGTCTCAGCCTCTCAGCTTGTTGAGAGTTACTGAGTTACATGTAAAATACTTCAGTTGTGAAGTTAGCATAAAATCTAATAACAATAACACAATAAAATTAAAAGCTTCTCAGAATAGCATTTGGCTTTTTCTGACTGCGACTATACCAAGACAGAAGAAACTTTCCATTGTATGAACTTGATCTCTTCATTGGACTAGCAACACCCTGCAAATATCTTGTTGACCTAAAAGAAAAGCTACTACTTCCACCTTTCGATGTAGTTGCTGAATTCTCACTTCCATTAACCTTCGAAACACTATCTTCATCACCATTACATTCTTTTGATACAACAGCTGCAACAACATTATTGATACCTGCAACAAAGGAATCATCCATAGAAACCGATCTCCTAGGCCGAATACTACCACTAACTACATCGACAACTGGTCTTCCGTTTTCACGAACCTCCAATTGCCCTCCTTCACCTACTGCCCTATTTCTCAACTCAGAATCATGAACCCTATTTTCAAACCCTAAATTGGATTCAATTTCACCACTATTTTCATCAACATCATGTGCATGTTCCGACGAACTCGAATGAGAATCAACAACAACAGATTCCAAAGACTCAACCCTCGCAATTGTAGGGTTAGTATAAACAATTGGAGCCCTACACATAGGACAATTGGTATGCGAACTAAGCCAAGTATCAATGCAAGGTAAATGAAAAGCATGATGACACTTAGGTAAAAGCCGAAGACTTTCATCTTCTTCAAACTCACTCAAACACACAGAACATTCAGTTCCTTCAATCAATCCTTCCCCTTTCTTATACTTACAAACACTAATTGCATTTATAACCGATTGTTGAAGACCTTGAGTTCGAATATACCAAATTGGATGATCCACAATAGAATCATGTTGTTGTAGTTCATCATCAAAATTCATCACATGAATTTGTTGAATCGTTGATGGTGGTGTTCTTGTCCTTGCCACTGCCCTTAACCTTGTTCTTCTTGTTCTTGACCTAAATTTGACATAAATTGCACGGATACAAACAAGGAAGAAAATAAGAGCAAGAATAGAAAGAGCGATTATGAAGTAATTGGCGAGTTTGTGATGATTTTGATTTGAATGGTAGAAAGGAAATTCTTGTTGCGGTGGTGGTGGCGGTGGTGGAGAATAGTAAAAAGGGTTTTGGAGATTGGTTAAACAGATGTTGAAGCAAACAGTGCAATCTTTGTTTGATGAACAATTAGGTAAATATTCATTTATGTGACAAATCGAGTCGCATATTTCTGAGATCAATTTTCTGTGATGCAATCCCATCTTTTAATTACTTCATTACAACTCTATTCTTCAGATCAAGATGATGATAAAGTGAGGTTTACAACTTTGACTTCTCAGCTTTTATTGAAGTAGTATAATATTATACGAATGTTAATCGAGTGTAATAACCCTCTAAAAATAATACTAATAAAATAAGGGAAAATTCCATTTTGTCTTTGACTTTTAAGACATTTGATTTGATTGATTTTTCTGTGGATTGTTGATTAGTTGGATTTTACTTTCAAATTCAATTCAATTTCGAGATTTCCTTTTCATATTAAATCTCTTTAAAACGTGGAATTGAAAGAAGAAAATGAATTGTATTTAGAATAAATATAACATATTTTAAAATAAGAATTTATGCTCATTTTTTAGTTTTGTTTAAATTTGACTATTTAGGACCGTTCACAAATTCTATAGTAAAAGGTTCAATAAAGTTCAATAGTAGTATAAGCAAAAGAGGATAAAGAGTAAGTGATCACTCATTTTATAAAGGATATATGATTTCGTTCTTAGACACGCCGATTGCCGTTTAATTAAATTTAACTCTCACCTGCATAATGCGCATTCTCTAAGACTAAGGATTTTAATAGCTCTTTTATATATATATATATATATATATATATATATATATATATATATATATATATATATATATATATATATATTGAGATATTGTATCACTTATTTCTATGGTTTATATTACACAGGTTAATCAAATGGTTATGATTCTTTCATGTACAAGAATAAGATCAATTATACTCACAAATTGTAATTAGTTCATTTTGAACCATTTTCAAAGATTGAATTGGTTATTTTCCTAACTGGATATGTTATTTTACTGTTGAATTCAGTTATGAGTTTTCTCATTTCGGATCAAACAAGCCCTTGTTTCAGATCAAACAAGTTATGGTCCTTCCTCAGTATCTATCACTTTGGTTCTCAATGGTTTCAACTATCACAGTTGGGCGTGTTCAATGCGCAGATCTTTTGAGGGAAAATGAAGTTTGATTTTGTTGATGAAACGATTATGGTTCCTGCAGATCCTTTTGATACGAGTCTTTGTACTTTAACTCATTGCAATATACTCGTCCACTTATGGATTATGCGATTACTTTTATAATCCATCGACTAATCAATCACATTCATGGAAACGCCATTCACGTTTGGAATGACCTAAAAGAACACTTTGCACAAGGGGATTTGGTTCGTATTTCCGAATTGCAACAAGAAATATATGCCTTGAAGCAAAATTCTTTGGGAAGAGTTAGAAATACATATACCTATTTTCAGTTTTTGAATTCGTTGTTCTTGTGATGCTATGAAGACTGCTAGGCTTAATCATAATATTTTGTATATCATTCGTTTCTTGATTGGATTACATGAAGAGTTCAATGTTTTAAGTATCAAATTTTACTTCTTGATCCTTTTCCCTCATTGAACAAGATTGTTTATATGGTAATACAACACAAGTGCCAAATCACCCTTATTGTCCTTTCTTCTGATGAATCTAAAATCCTAGTTAATTTGCTGATAATAGGAAACATGTCTACAGAAATCCAAAATATTGAAAAAGAGTGTGTACATTTGATGGAAAATCAGCCTACACAATTGATACTTGTAAGTATGAAATGTAATCTAAGGGGGGTGAATTAGATTAATCGGTCTTTATGAAATTTTCTTGCTTTAAGAGTGATAGCAATGTGTTCTTAATTTTCCAGAATTCTTATGAATGGTAAAGTGCTGGAAATAAGTGCAAAAAATTAAAATATGTCAAGATGTATACTAGTTCCCCTTTTCCAAACAAGAATATATCTAGTCCCCTCACACCCTGTGAGAGATTTCATTATGTTAGAATATGTCAAATCCTCACACCAAGGTCACTCATACACTTTTCTAACATATAAAAGAAAACACACCATTTTCTTTTACACTTGAATAAAAAGCACGCCATTTTCTATATCAAACAACAATCACTTAGCACTTCTTTTAGAGACAACAAGCTTTTCGAATATGCACTTTATCAGATCCATTTTAGATAATAATAAAGTAGTATGGCAAATTATATATTGTCTTAAGCGTCGAACAACCCAAATCATATAAAGTAGTATGATATCAAGAATTGTTTGGAAGTTCAAATTTTTGCTTCAAGAGGTAAGTGCTCTTAACTGAAACTCCTTGAATCATGTTGTATCTTGATGTGCATTGAACATGAAGCTTGTTGGTTATGTTGCTTATAGTGTTTTCCCCCATTTAATTATTGTTCATGATCAACGTATGTGAAACTTCAGTTTTAGGGTTCATGTGTTGTAGAAATCATTTTTAAGTTAGAGCCATTATTAATAGAATTGGTTATTGTCATTATGTTCCTTGTTGAAAAATATACGATTTTCATTTTTATAGCATGATGTTTGGCTCAGTATTCAGAGAGTTAGTTTTTATTTTTTTTATGTTTGAAAATGGAGGATGAGAGGAAGGAAAAAGATGATGGCGTCTTTGGTTCAGAGTTTTGATAAATGTATAATATATTATTAATTGGATGGGGGTGATACAATGGATGTATCACTTCCCCAGTGGTTTATCATTCGTGCTTTAGTACTCTCTTGCCTTTCGTGACCAGGGTTTAAGTCTCAATGACCACCCTTTTGCTGCTTTTGTGCAATTTCTGTTATTTTCTCACTTTTAAAGCTGTTTTAAAATATATTATTAAGTTTCCCTCTATGTCCATAACACACGCCTTGGTTGGGATGGTTAGGGTTTTGGGTTGTATGCTGACCCGTGTGGGTTCAACAGTCATGGGGACCATTCCCTTTCTTTTTATGATTTTATTTTCTTACTTTTCTTTATAACTTTTCCATTTTAAACCTTTTTTAGGCTATTCTTTTTGCAAAATGTTCATGATATTGTTTACTTTTTATTTGTGAAAAGAAAAGTACAAAAATAATTTTTTTGATGCATTTATGTATGTTCAAAGTGTATGATATTTTTAGGGTTTCTTAAGGCTTATCTTGATTCTTTTGAATGATTCCTTGATTTCCTTTGTACATGCTGCCTTATATGAATCGTATACATCTTGTATAAACTTTGTATGACATTGTTAACTTGTACATTGTGTTTTTACTTGAGCTTGATGCCTTTTTCATTCATGTTTACATGTTAAAAGTGTATGTTGAAATTTGTCCGTGCCTTGAACTTTTGCTTGACTATTTTGCCTTAACATGTGATGTTCCTTCCATGTTTACATGACCTTGATATGTATATATTTCCCTTGTGTTGATCATGCCATGTTTATGTGTTCTTAAAAACTTGAGATTTATCTTGGAAGCAATTTTGTGTATATACTTGTATGCTTGGACCCTTGTGGTGTTTCCTACTTGCTTAATGCCATGATTGAACTCACAACATGTGTGTTTAGTTGTTACTTATTTGTCTTAACATGATTCAGCTTGTATCCATGCCTAAATGTCCAAGTAATGTCTTAACTTGTTCACATGATGTTTGAATTTAAACTTGTTATCTTTAAGTATGCTCACATAACATCCATTGTATGTTGGCATCTTCATCCACATGGTATTGTTATAAACATGTTCGTTTTGCTTAAGTATGTTTGGTTGTTACCTTTACTTGTCTTAAATTGTATTCATGATTAAGTGTTGTTATAACTTGTTCATGCTTGTTTTGTATTCATGATTAAGAGGTGTTAGTAAACCCTAATGCATGCTTCTTTTGATTGAGAACTTTAAATTGATGTTTAGTCTTGTCAGAACTATATTTCATGAGTTTTTAGATCTTGTCACATCTTTTCTTGTACTTGGTTGTTACCTTGCCCCATATTTGACTTTGTCAAGTATTTATATGGATGTTGTTACATCCTTGCTTGTTTTTCATCCTGACCTTCTTTGATTTACATCCATGCCTTAAACATTGTCTTGATTTAGGTATGTTGATCTTTAAATTTTGAGCTTTGCCATGATAAGTAATGTTTTGACTTATGCACGATTGCTTATGTCCCAAATTGTCATCAATGATGCTTAGTCTTGTGAGAACTATGTTTCATGATTGCTTAGATGTTGTAACACTTATGCTTGAAATTACTTTTGGTTGTAACCATTTGATTTGGTTCTAACTTACTTTGAATGAATGTTTTTATCAAATATTTTCATGATATTGTCACATACTTGCCCTTATCTTCTTGGTTGTTACCATGATCACATGTTTTCATCATACTTAAATGAAGGCGTACTTTAATATCACCATACTTTTGATACCTCTTTAACTTTGTTAAGTTTTCTCAAAGTGATGTAGCTCTCACCTTAAAGAGTTGCCCTTTTGTTCCTTAGTCCAAAGGAAAGTCTCTCTATTGACTTAAATATCATAGATAACTCAGTTCTTAACCTTCCCTTGACCTTGTTAGAGTCATTAAATCCTTCAACTTAGTCTTAAGTTAGGACCTATATCCTTCTGGCTTTGTTAAGTCAAGACTTTAGCATACCTTGTTAGGAATCCTATAACTTAGAACTTAGGTTTGGAGTTTGTTAACTCTAGTTGTGTACCGTTGTTATGTGTACTCACTTCTTCTTTGACTTTGGTTAAAGTCAATTTTCAGTTAGGTCTTATAATTTAGACTTAGAGAGTTTGTTAACTCTATATAAGTATCATTGTTATGAATACTTATTCCCTTTGGAACCTTGACCATAGTCAAAATTTCTTTCACACCTAGTGAGGTGAATTGTGATTGCTTTGATTCCATCCTTGTTAGGATACGTAGGCACGAGATGCGACGTCTTGCCGAGCATACTTAGTGTATGTACCCATAAGTCTTTACCTTTAGCACATTTACTTTAGCAGGTAACCATTAGCAAGCAAACATTAGCAATAACACAAATACCAAACAAGAGGTTCATGTAGAGTACTACAGATACTTAGGATGCTAACATCTTTTCTAGGTATAACCAACGTCTGAACCCCACAATCTATAAGCTTCGCTGTTACATAGCGCAATTAGGGTTTTCTTCGATATTTACCCTTTCTTTTGGATAAATCAAAGCTCGGTGATGAATTTCAATGATTTGTGATTCAAGTTAATTAATAGCTTGATATCTTATTCTCACTGCAACAATGATTATCAAGCCCATTGATGATGGCCATTGATGATCTAGGGAATGGTTTCTGGTCTAATAATATAAGCCGGCATTCAACAACAAAAAAATGGGAGGAAGCTAGGAGGGAAACCTATGGGGGCCAAGAACCCTTCAAGCATACATATTTTTTGAACCGTACATTTAGAGCCTTCCCTAACTAGCATCAAGAAAGTTAGTGGATCTCCTATTAAATTCTCTCGGACCACACAATTGACTTATTTAAGATATGGTATAAATCCGCTACCGTCGTCGTATATTGTGATGGGGTTCCCATACGTTCTTGGTGTTAACAAATAGAATTGTGGGTTTATCTAATTGAAGAGCTAGGATCCGACGACGACTTTCATTGCACCTCGAAGCAAAGTGAAGGAAACCTTTTCTTTAAGGAATTTCGTTCATATTAAATTCATTCCTTGAAGTATCAATCGGGGCTTCACGCCATATTTCAAGTTCGTCATAACAGCAGCACTCCCAATTGTCAAAGTCAAGTCAGATTATTAATAGTCCTTCAATTTACATCACCTTTGAAGGCTGCATAACTCGGCTCGGGTGGGTTTTCCTAGAAGAAGAAAATGTTCCCGTCGACATCGGCGGCGGCAGACACAACCTCCGAAGTGTTGTCTAACAGGAAAACGCAAACTCGCCTTGGAAATCTAAGATAGCCAGGAAAGAGTTGAACAAGCTGCGTCGATAACACCGACAGAAAAAGGCATGACGTATATATGTCTCCACTGAGCATTAATTAAGTGTGTAAGATGATCAACGAAGTTTACTGAACCTAATGACACGCTCGTGAAGGACATGTTATTATATGCGGCCAAGCTCTATGAAGGGTCTCACATATTGTAACTCAGTACATAGGTTGATGAAGTTTGACGACCAAAAAACCGCCAAGGGCTGTCGTTCGAAAGTTCGAATGCAAGACAAGAAGACAGGGATTTCAGCATACACAACCCCTGCTTTAGAAATCCAAAATGATAAGGAATCAGGATGAATCAATAGTTTCTGCATGCATACTCTTGTAGCAGTCGGCCAGAATGTGGCCGATCAACTACCTGAACAAAATATTTATTTGTATCTTAATTGTTTTGCTATTATACACTTGATGCAGCACATATTTTGTTTTTTTTAATGCATACGACAGAAAACTTTGAAAATCTCAGCCTCTCAGCTTGTTGAGAGTTACTGAGTTACACCTATATATACTTCAGTTGTGAAGTTAGCATAAAAGCTAATAACAATAACACAATAAAATCAAAAGCTTCTCAGAATAGCATTTGGCCTTTTCTGGTTGCGGCTATACCAAGACAGAAGAAATTTCCTATTGTATGAACTTGATCTCTTCATTGGACTAGCAACACCCTGCAAATATCTTGTTGACCTAAAAGAAAAGCTACTACTTCCACCTTTCGATGTAGTTGCCGAATTCTCACTTCCATTAACCTTCGAAACACTATCTTCATTACCATTGCATTCCTTTGACAGAACAGTTGCAACAACATTATTGATACCTGCAGCAAAAGAATCATCCATAGAAACCGATCTCCTAGGCCGAATATTACCACTAACCGCATCGACAACTGGCCTTCCGTTTTCACAAACCTCCAATTGCCCTCCTTCACCTTCTACCCTATTTTCAAACCCTAAATTGGATTCAGTTTCACCACTATTCTCATCAACATGTCCATGTTCCATCGAACTTGAATGAGAATCAACAACAACAGATTCCAAAGACTCAACCCTTGCAATTGTAGGGTTAGTAGTATTAACAATTGGAGCCCTACACGTAGGACAATTGGTATGAGATCTAAGCCAAGTATCAATGCAAGGTAAATGAAAAGCATGACGACACTTAGGTAAAAGCCGAAGACTTTCATCTTCTTCAAACTCACTCAAACAAACAGAACATTCAGTTCCTTCAATCAATCCTTCCCCTTTCTTATACTTACAAACACTAATTGCGTTTATAACCGATTGTTGAAGACCTTGAGTTCGAATATACCAAATTGGATGATCCACAATAGAATCATGATGCTGTTGTTCATCATCAAAATTCATCACCTGAATTTGTTGATTCGTTGATGGTGGTGCTCTTGTCCTTGCCACTGTCCTTAACCTTGTTCTTCTTGTTCTTGACCTAAAATTGACATAAATTGCACGAATACAAACAAGGAAGAAAATAAAAGCAAGAATAGAAAGAGTGATGATGAAGTAATTGGTGAGTTTGTGCTGGTTTTGATTTGATGAGGAGTAGATAGGAAATTCTTGTTGTGGCGGTGGCGGTGATGGTGGTGGCGGTGGATAATAGTAATTAGGGTATTGAGGATTGGTTTTGAGACAGTTTTTGAAGCAATTAGCGCAATCATTGTTCAAAGAACATTTAGATACAGAGTCTATTCCATGACATATCAACTCGCATAACTCTGGGATCAGTTTTCTGTGAAGATGTTCCATGTTATAACTCTACTCAGATTTTCATGTAAGTTGATGATGATGATGAAATGAGGTTTACGATTTTGACTTTTCAACTTCCATTGTTCTACTAATATTAGATGATGATGGTATATTGAAGCTTATATGAATATTAGTGGAGTGTAATAATGCTCTAAAGATAATTAAAATAAGGGGAAATAATTCGTCTTTGACTTTTAAGTAATTTGATTTGATTGATTTTTATGTGGACAGTTGGTTAGTTGGACTTCACTTTCAAATTCAATTCATATTATGTCTGTTAGATTGGGTGAGTTTTATGGAGGCAATTTAAAGATGTTTGCGGGTCGGATCAATTTGATTTTGAGAGAATATGATATTTGAAGTGATCAAAAATATATAAATTGGTTTGAATTAGATTTGAATATTTTTTGTGGTAAAATTTAAACTGAGCTGAATCGAAAAACAACGAGTTGGTTTGAACAAATGTGTAAAAATATTTTTAAAAAATATCTAATACATATTAACTAATTTTTCATAATAATATAAAATCCTTAATTTTTTCGTGTCTTCCTATAGATTGTGAATGTCATAAATGACGTTTTTTTTTCTTGAAGTTGAATATTTTATACTAGTTTTTATGATAATGATGATATAAATTATACAAATTAGTTATGGTTCGATCAGGCAGATGCGTTCACTAGTAGAATTTTGGTAATTCGTTGTCCAAACCAAAATAATACGAGGTTTCATTGGTTTGGTTCAGTTTTTGTCCGAACTAAAAAAAAATGTCCAACCCAAACACCTTAGTTTAATTTGGATTCTTATTTGATTCAGATTTGCCTGAACCAATGAACATCCTTAGGCACTCCCTCATTTATGGGAATAGAATCTCTGAAATGTGATTTACACTAGAGAGAGTAAAATGCAATCTATCACCATTCAAAGTCATTATCTCTAAAATTTACAAGTGTTTCTCTCTCTTTTTGAATGGTGAGAGATTACACTTTACTCTCTCAAGTGTAAATCACACTTTTTTTAGAAGAATAAATTTTGATTCTCAACCAAAAGCATAACAACACAAAGCGACTAAAAGGTCCAGCAAAACTTAAAAACAAGGAAACAAGACACAGGAAGAGCCTAAGGCATCATTAGTCTACTAGTCTGGTGTCTAAGCTTGGGATTTGTTCACAACCTATACAGAATCATATCTATGACATTCGGGCCTATAGTAGTGTTGCTCACTCTATTACCAAAGCAGTGAAGATTTCTGAATTTCTATATCTTATAAATTGTTTTAGTAAATGCACATTTCAAGATTATAACTCTCTAGCCCTTACCTTTGCAATTGTTGATTATCTAATTTAATTCTTCTTTCCAGCCTTCTGGGTTATTGATAAATGGTATTTGCATCATTTTTTCTAATAGTTTTTGTTTAGCATTTTACAGTATTTCGTTCGATTTTCTTTCACATGTCATGTTTTATGCTTTGGTTTATATTTTATTGTGACTTCCATGGTCTAATGAGCATCATAGTAAGAAGGAATCAAAGCCAAGAGAAACAGAGCGAAAAAGATAATTTTGGTAAATTATCCAAGACAGAGTCAGAGGGCTGCTACGGGCCGTAGTACCATGGCCCCCAACCCCCTCATTTGAAGACTTTTTTAGCAAGCAAGGCAGTGACCTGCTACGGCCACCCGTAGCAGCTGCTATGGACCTTTCTGAGTCAACTGAGTAAAAGGTAAAGCTAAATTAGAAAAAACTTCTATAAACCTCCTATAGTAACCATCTAAACCCATAAAACTTCTAATTTATGTAACTGCCTTCAGAGTCTCCCACTGCAACGCAACGTCAACCTTTGATGGATCAATTGATATACCACAACTAGAAATCACATTACCAAGGAAACTTACTTCATGCAAACAGAATTCACACTTCGAAAACATCGCATATAGCTTATTCTCTTGCAAAGTCTGTAGCATAACTCTCAAATGTTTCGCATGTTCTTAATCTGACTTGGAATATGTAACGCCCCGATTCTGATTTCCCAATTTTATTGAGTCTTTTGATTTATTTTGGTGTTTAATATTTTAATTGTGAAATTTATGTGTTAATATGTTATGTTTGCATATTAAGCTATTTTACCGATTTTGAGAGTTTTCGGGGAAAATAGAGTGAAGGGTATTTTAGACATTAAGGATTTAATGATAAGTTGAGATGTTTTGTGAGAAATGGATTAGTAGATGTTTGGAGAGAAATATAATAGAAGAGATATAAGTGGAAAAGAGAAAAGAAAAGGATAGAAATAGAGAGAAAGGAAAAAGAAGAGAAAGAAAGAAGGAAGAAGAGAGAAGAGGAGAAAATAGAAGAAAAGCTTGGAATCATCAAGAACAACTTTTAGAGTTCGATTAATCGGGTAAGAGTGTGAAATCTTATTATCTTACCAATGTATATGATTGTGTTTGTGTGTGTTTGGATTTTTTGGATGTTTTCCATCTTTTTCCATTTTAGGTCGAAATGAATTTAATCCATAGAAACCGATGTTTGAACGGTTAGAATCTGGAATTAATGGTGTAGTTTAGTCGAGAAATGTTAGGCTAAGACTACTGGAACTTGTTGGAATTGAATCAGGTGATTTTGGGAGTTTCGGAGGTTTTTGGGCAGTTGGGGTTTTTGAGTACGCAGACACTCCCTAGCATGTTCGCTAGGCGAGCAGAGTGGCAATTCGTTCGCTAAGCGAGCTACCAGCAAATGTCCCCAGACTTGGGCAGAATGGAAATGATCCTTTTCGCTAGTAGCGAGTTGTTCGCTAGCGAGGCCCCAGCGAGCCAGTAGCGAATCCTTCCAGTAGCTTCTGTTTGTCTTCGCGAGCTTGTTCGCTAGGCGAGACCCCAACGAGCCAGTAGCGAATCCTTCCAGTAGCTTCTGTTTGTCTTCGCGAGCTTGTTCGCTAGGCGAACCAGCAGCGAGTGTTCGCTATGACCTCGCTAGGCGAGTGGTCCAGCGAGTGTGACAATGTTTGATTTTATTTTCGTGTTTCCATTCAATGTTGATTGTTTGGCTCGATTATGATCGATCTTTCTGAATGCATAGTTGTATGTTGTGATATGTTATGCTGTGGGTAGCCGTATGGCGTGAATCCTAGATTGGGAAATCAATTGTGAAATATGGCCTTTTGGCAAATATACACTGTTTAAATTGATTTAAAAGTATATGAATGATTGTGATAGAGTTCGTTGCCGTTTGGCACGACGTTGTGAATGCATATTAATTGTATGCGATTGTATTCGTGAATGAATCTATTTGATTCTTGTATACTACTTGATGAATGTAGTGATGATGTTGAAAGTATGAATACTTTGATGACATGTGTTGTGTGTGCAATCATGATATAATTCTTGTGTGATGAATTATCTGATAATGCATGGGATTAAGATGCGAGAACGAACTTAAGTGCATTTGTTGTTGATTGCACACACATCATTTGTTGTCAAGAGGCAATGCTTGCTAGTTTCGTGGAGACTAGTGACTTGTCCCAAACCTAGAAGGGTGGGTTTGAAAGCTTAGAGGACGGGCTTTTGTTTGTTATTGGTCTAGGGGACGGACCCGGTTTAAATGTAAAAACCGAAAAATAATAACAAGTGTTGATACCACATGGCATGAGTTGCATTGAGTCACATGGCATGGATATAAACATTGTGTGAATGTATGCATATGAGTATGTTTATGTGGAATGACGAGAATTATGGATGTGTGCATGATGAATATTATTGGTGATTATTCCATATTTGTTTATACATATATATGGTGATATATATGATGAGTTATGATGAATTGTGGCGAGAATGCGGAATATGTATATTCTATGCTTGTGTACATATATATATATATATATATATATATATATATATATATATATATATATATATATATATATATATATATATATATATATATATATATATATATATATATATATATATATATATATATATATATATATATATATATATATATATATATATATATATATATATATATATATATATATATATATATATATATATATATATATATATATATATATATATATATATATATATATATATATATATATATATAATTATATGCATTGATTATTATGATAATATTTCTCACCCTTCTGTTGTTTTATGATGCTCTATGAGGCCTTGCAGAGTAGGTATGCTGGAGGTCTTTTGTGAAGCGTGTCTTCATTCTTTTGTCAGTCAGCTCTGATATGTAGCACCGGGTAGCTAGGATATATGATTCTTTTGTGATACATTGTACATGTATCTTGTTGTGGAATGTTTATGAAAACATGAATTATGTTGTGAATCGAACTGAATGATATATATGTGTATATATGTTTGATGATCATAAATGTTTAGATGTTTCCGCTTTTATTCTCAATATTGAAATGTGGGTGTAAGGACTAAGTTCCTCTATTGAATGTTACCCCACTATTGCATATCTTTATTGAGCAAGTGTTGTATGTTTTAAATTCTAGTATGATGTGGCGCACCTCTTTTATACCGTATTTTAACTACACTCTGATGGATTTTTTTTACATGCCTAAATGATTTATTTGATTAATTGGGGGTATAGAAAGGGGGTGTTACATTAGTGGTATCAGAGCAGGTCGATCAGTTGACTAAGTTGTTAATGTGTTTATTCCCTATATATATCGGATTATGTGTATGACTCTATCGATATTGTTAGTTCTTATGAGTTTCGTTATTGGGATTCAGAACGATGGTCGCCGGTAGGAATGATGAAGCGATTGTCGAAGCTTTGGCGATATTGGCTGGAGCGATTGGACAGAATCCACAAGCCAACGTGAATGCTGGAAACAACGCTGACAACAAGTTTCTTGCTTTGAGAAGGTTCTAAAGGAACAATCCACCAATTTTCAAGGGAACCCACGAACCTGACAAAGCACAGGTATGGCTGAAGGCGATCGAGAAGAAATTTCGAGTCATGAACTGTTCAGATGCGCAGAAGGT